TTTTACCTTTGGTAAATGCCGAGAATATATCAATTATATAACATTTTAAATAAAGATTAACTTTTCATGCAAGAAACGATCAGATTCTGGGTCAACGGGCTCGTTCTACAAATTGCCCGGAAGTCTGCCCATAGAACGGTCGACTGTACCCTACCGGCGGTCGACCGTGGACTGCGTTGTGGGGAACTGGATGGCCGACGGTCCACCGTGGTCTTCCGTCGTGGCCGGCGGCCGACCGTCACGGTGGTGACCGTCGGATTGGCCATGGGTACGGTCCACCATCCGTTGTGGCGGTTGACCGTCCTGGAGGCAGTCCGCTGTCCTTTACTCTGTTTTGGTCTGTTTTGCTAATTTAACACCTAGATTCTTTTTAGAACAATAACATAACATTTATGAATATATTTCTAGTGATTCCTAGGCCAAAATTTATAGGTTTACGTAATGAACATTTTGGTGATTAATCTACGAACATGTATGGATTCTATGTAGGTTGCGTACGATATTTCTATGAATATAACGACATAGATTATAACTTAATGTTCTAGAATTAGAGGCGACAACTACTCACCTCTAAATGAAGGGGTTGACGGAACGAGATGAACGAATGGTGCCAACGAACGGACGAACGACGACTACGCTTCGCACGAACGCCCTAGCCCTTCTTCTCCTTCAACCTTGCACCCTCCAGAGCTTCGCCAGAGGTCCTCCTCGCTGCTGGTCTGGCCGAAAATGAGAGAGAGAGGGAGAGAGAAGATGAATTGTGTGTGGGAGTTACAAAAATGTGAGGGGATGAATGGGAAATGTGTGGGTTATTGAGTTATGGGAATAATGAGGAGAATGAATGAGAGTGATGGTGAGTTATGGGGAATGAGTGGCGTAAGGGGTCAATTTGGGGGGTTACAAATGTTTATTCTACTACGTAATGTAAAATCTGACCTGAACGGTACGCGCTTTTCCCCCAAACGGGTCCGAATTGAGATCCGTTTGTGTTTCTGGAATCAGGCAATCAAAATGAATTTAATGATATGATCAAATAATTTTTCTAAGAACTTTTGAATTTCCCCAACTCTGGTCTGGAACAGTAATTAATTAATTAAATTAATCAATTCTATTAGACCGGGTTGCAGGGTGTTACAACTATGCTCGATGAGGCAAAAATTCCTAAGTATTTTTGGGCGGATGTCGTGAGTACTGCGAGCTACGTGTTAAACCGAGCCGTCATTAGAACAATACTCATGAAAACCCCATATGAACTATACAAAGGAAGAAAACCAAACCTCTCCCATCTTCGAGTTTTTGGTTGCAAATGTTTTGTTCACAATAACTGAAAAGATAACTTGGGTAAATTCGATGCAAAGTCGGATGAAGGAATTTTTCTTTGTTATTCATTGCTTAGTAAGGCTTATAGAGTCTTCAACAAACGCACCTTAACCATTGAGGAATCTCCTCATGTTGTCTTCGCCGAAAATGATGCTCGCTTGGCGAGAAAAGTTTCTTGTGATGATCATGTAGATTTGTTAGAGAACATCTATCTCAACGACAATGACGAAGGCCAAGACGAAGAAAAAGAGCCACCTATGAACGAGGAACAACCACAAGAGGAAGAAACGCCAATGCCAAGGGCATGGAGGACTTCAAAGAACCATCCCCTAAACAAGGTAATCGGTCACATCAACTGAAAGGTAAGTACTCATAGCTCTCTTAGGGACACCGTAGGTCACATGGCTTTTGTTTCTCAAATTGAACCTACAACCATTTCGGAAGCAATTGATGATGAACATTGGACCTTGGCAATGCAAGATGAACTTAACCAATTCAAACGAAATGACGTTTGGGAATTGGTGCCAAGACCCGATGATCATACCATAATTGGTATGAAATGGGTGTTCCGTAATAAACTTGATGAAAATGGGATAATCACTAGAAACAAAGCTAGGCTCATAGCTAAAGGCTACAATCAAGAAGAATGCATTGATTTTGAAGAAACTTATGCACCGGTAGCACGCTTAGAAGCTATTCGTTTATTACTTGCTTTTGCTTCATCTATGGATTTTAAACTATATCAAATGGATGTTAAGAGTGCCTTCCTCAATGGTTTTATTCAAGAGGAAGTGTATGTTGATCAACCCCCGGGGCTTTGAGGATTTTGAGCATCCGGAGTATGTCTACAAACTAATGAAACCACTCTACGGTCTTAAACAAGCACCTCATGCTTGGTATGAACGTTTGAGCAAATTTCTTTTGGACAACGGGTTCAAAAGGAGGAAGGTTGACACTACGCTTTTTATCAAGAATAAAAATGATAACATCCTCTTGGTACAAGTTTACGTAGATGACATTATATTCGGTGCTACTAACAAATCTTTGTGCAAGGAATTTTCAAATCTAATTACAAATGAATTTGAGAGTTCCATGATGGGAGAACTCAATTTCTTCTTGGGCTTACAAGTCAAACAAATGAGGGATGGAACCTTCATTTGTCAATCAAAGTATTGCAATGAGCTCCTAAAAAGATTTGAAATAGATGGCTCCAAGGCAATGGCTACCCCGATGAGCACCTCCGAACACTTGGACAAAGATGAAAAGGGTAAGGAAGTAGACGTAAAGAAGTATCGAGGTATGATCGGATCCCTTCTTTATCTTACCGCTAGTAGACCCGATATCATGTTTAGCATTTGTTTATGTGCAAGGTATCAATCTTGTCCGAAAGAATCGCATTTAACGGCGGTGAAACGGATAATGAAATATCTTGTTGGAACGATGAACGTTGGACTATGGTACCCCAAAGGGTCTCCTTGTCATCTTTTTTGCTATTCCGACTCGGAATTTGCCAGTTGTAGATTACACCAGAAAAGCACGAGTGGGACATGTCACCTGCTTGGTAGTTCGTTAGTCTCAGTGTTGCGTTATCCACAACCGAAGCGGAATATGTTGCCGCCGGTAGTTGTTGTGCTCAAATCCTTTAGATGAAGCAACAACTAGTGGATTATGGCCTTAGTACCGATCACGTTCCTCTTCGATGTGATAATACTAGCGCCATAAGCTTGATGAAGAATCTCGTTCTTCACTCAAGGACGAAACATATTGACATTAGGCATCACTTCATTAGAGATCGTGTTCTTAAAGGTGATGTCGAAATTGAGTTCGTTGAAACACACGACCAATTAGCCGACATTTTCACAAAACCTTTAGAGAAAGAGTCGTTCTTCCGCATTCGTAGTGAACTCGGAATTCTTGACTCCACGATGATCTAATTTGTGCATTAACTATTTTTTGGTCATTACTAACTTGAACGTCGGAGACGTTTTTAACCTTTTTTTGCAGGGCTCGTTTTTTACCTTATTTTTAAGGTGTCAAAGTCATCGGTGATTGTAGAGAGAATCCAGCCTTGAAGAAGTGCATTGTCGAGCGAGAAGTAACAGATGACTTCACTTTTTGTAGTTAGGTTGAGAGAAACTAAGTTGAATGGGAACATGGAGTTCAACATTAGAGATGGTGAAGACAAGATGAGGAGATTTGGAGGAGTTGTTCATGACCTCGCTATCCGTCATTGTGTAAGGAGAAGAGGGGAGGGGGGGACTGCGTCGAGCACAGAGAGGAAGAAGCTGAGCTCACTGGCGGCAGAGGGAAGCAACGCCGAGGTAGACTGGCGGCGCAGGAAGCGATGGGGGGGCCGACGCAGGTAGATGGAGAAAATAGGGATGGGATTTTAGGGAGACTCTGATACCATGTAAAAAGACTATTTTCATTGATAAACTATGTGGTGATTACATGTAAATATACTAAGGGTGTCAATCCTAATTATGGTAGGAGAGACATAATAGGAAGGTTATACAATTATGGTAACAATATAATACAAGAATATTAAATATAAATATTATATATTTAACACACTTCGCAAATTTGCTAAATTCTTTCCCCCATTGTTTTAATTGCATAATCATAGGTAAATTTACTATTTTAACCCTCTTTTTAGTCACGAACCCCATATTGTCATAAACATGAAGTTGTAGAACACAGGCCCGATTGAAAAAGGAAGAAACTGACTTCTAGAAAATAATTTTGGGAATTTGAGTCAATTTCTTTTTTTTTTGTTTTTGTTTTCTTGGTGTTTGGCAAGATGCCAACGAAATCCACCGTACCAGAATGAAAAGAAATAGGCCAACTAAAGTTGGCAGTGCAATTATGACTGCGAGGAAAGGAAATGGATCGACGACAAGCACTGTTTCGTTGAAGATGGGCACCGGGAAAGCTTCGGATGAAGCAGGCCGCAATAGGGCGGGGGGGATATGAAGCGGAAGACTGAGAAAGTGCGTGGAGCATGTTTCGGAAATGACTTTTGGATACAAAAGCGGATGTTCCTCCCTTCCAAACAGACACCAAATGAATCTGGGTAGTGACTACTTATCTTTTATAATGGCAAGCTTTTATATTTCACTTTTCTTATTAAAATTTGGGGGGTTTTGTATTTAAGGGCTGTTTGGAAACTTCTGAATCGGTAAGTGCTGAACCAGTAAGAGGTGGTCTGAACCATTAAGTGCTGAACTAGTATGAGGTCTGAACCATTAAGAGCTAGTATATTGCTTAACTATTCAGAGGCAAATGTCTGATCAATTCAGATAAGAGATCTTAACCATTCAGACTCTGTATAATACTTAATCATTCAGAGGCAAATCTCTTAACCATTCAGACATCTGAACCATTAAGAGGCTGAAACAAACAGTCTGAACCATTAAGTGCTGAACCATTCAGACATCTGAACCATTAAGAGGCTCAAACAAACAGCCCCTTACTATTATTTCATTAGAATAAAATCCAATCTAATCACCACAGAAAATAAATCCCAAAAAAAACTCCATCTGATGAAGGAGAACTTAACCACACAAGCATGCTTGTTCACTGGGGAAATCTTGATTGCAATAATAATAATAATAATAATAATAATAATAATAATAATAATAAAATAAATGAAAAAATGACAAAAGAATAGCTTCAGAATATCACTACAAATAGCTAAAACTCATACCTGATTTCCCCTGCCATTTCAAACACCTTCCATCCTCACTTTATAAGAGCAATGGTAGCATATACAATGTACAAACTAAACCAAAACTAAGATGGAATTCCCCAAAAAATTTGTGCAAACAGCCTCATCCATCTATTGGGGGTGCAAATAAAACCATCAGAGCAGCAGCTGTCCAGGACCCCTACGTGCCAGTCTTAATGAAGGTCCGTTGAAGTCTAGCATTGGGCCAGTTTGTTTGGGGTCTTCCGGCCTTTGTAACCCCTGGATGAAATTTGCAATGAAATACAATAACAACAAATGCATGTTAGGGAAGCCATGGTTTTGGGAAAAAGGAAAAAACTACTCATAGTTGACACAAAGCAGTGTGTTATTACCAGAGTTGGACATTCAAGAATGAAAACCTATAGCTAGGGTGGTTCCAGTAAGTGAATTGGACGTTAGAGATTACAAGTAATCACTGTATGCAACAGCACTTTTTTTACTGAAAATTATACATCTAGCCCACAACACCCACCCCCGCCCCCAATTGTTGGCCCAAAGTATCTTGGGCCAACAGTATTTCTGGATGTGCCACTGCATATAGCTACAAAGTACAAACCAACCCAAAAAAAATGTTTTTGTTTTTCAGATAATTTTCATCAGTAATTCACATGCTTAACTAAGCTAGGAAAATTAAAAGGGATCGCTTAATTCTATTATACTACGTACTTAACATTTTATCTCTTAAAAAAGCAGCTTTGTAAATATCATTTATATCAGAGGAAACTATATAGTCATGAATAAGTAGATCAAAACCTTAGGTGATGAGTTGGAGCTGCAGCGCGAGTGTGACACTGCATGTGACTTTGAATGCATACGATGCAGATGTTGGATGTGTTCAAAAAGCTGTAGCCAAGTAGAGAAATTTATTCCATTGTGCATATCATCATGTAAATCCTCATCGAAATCACCATTATCTGAAAATCGTGAGTCACGCCTTGAGTTACTACTCTTAGAATAAGGATTCCCTGATGTTTGGCTAAGCTGATCACCACTAAAAGAGTATGAAGGTACAGTTTTCAGCCGAGTCCGAAGAATCTTAAAAGCTGCACTTTGCTGCAAAAATAGCAAACAGGACCTTAACAGTTGCTATTTGTCATGTTGACAACAGAGTTGCATTTTCCTTTACTAATTTAGTAGCACTGGACATTGTTACATCAGTTCTACACTTTCTTTTGAAAGATCAATTTCTTGTATCTCTTATTAAGGTTTTCTGTTTTTAGTGTTTTGAAATAAATGTTTAATTGAATGTTAATTATAAAACATATTTTGACTTTGTTAAGCAATAACATTTACTGTATAGCCATGTCAATGGCCCAGAATATTCAAGGTCAACAAATGTTTAGTGATTGCACCTCTCAACATCCATATGAATGACATGATGTTATTCCTTGATTTAGAACACAACAACGACTACCAGGTAAAATCCGAAAAGTGGAGTATGGAGACAGCAGGTGTACGCAGACCATACTTCAACCTAAAAGATAGAGATGTTTTTGAAAGACCTCAGACTCAAAGAAGAGAACATATCAGAAAACACTGATTAGTAAGGTCCAACACATATAAAAAAGAACACATATATGAGAGGGGATGAAAGAAAGCTAGCCAACAGCGAACAGAAACACAAACGCACGCAAATTCATTAATTTAGAAGGGTGTGTGTGTGTGTTTGGAGGGGGGGAGCATTATTAAGATTGTGCTTATTTTCATTTGTTCTGAAATAACATAAATAGTTGTGTCGCATTAAATAGACTTCTTATAGAACTCAAGACATCTTTTGCCAAATTTATGGATATCCTGCATCAAACGAATCCATTTTCTATTCTGCAAAAATGGAAGTTATACTACTTCACACACAAATAGATTGCATATTGCTCCAAAATCCAAATATAACTTATAAGCATCACCGCATTTGGTCACTAATCATATGTGAACACTGAAAAGGAAATTTTTACCTCTTTGAGAATCCACAAGAAAAATATTAGTCTCGTCTACTACAAGAACCTATTTATTGGGCTAAAAATGAAAAATTCCATAATACTCTAATTCCTAATTCTTCTAACATTTCTTCCAAATGTATAGCATTTGAACTTCATGTCAAAATGAAATGAAAAGAAGAACAAGTCGCATTCTTTTCCCCCCTCAAAATATGCATTCCAAAAAGGAAAGAATGCATGGCATACTGGTGATGGGCAAGCCAAAATGTTTCTTTCCCCTTGAAAATAAACCAATGTCAAAGCTTGATCCACTCAACAATGATATGTTTTGAGAGTTTAAAAAGTGAAAACTACAATACTCCACCGGCAAGGTTGGTATAAGACTCCTTCAAGATTACAATTATGTATCTAAAAGTTCCATTTTTTGACAACTAGCATTTTCACCCGTGCGATGCACGGGGTCGACGAAATTTTTGTCTATTCTGAATTTTTTTAATGCAATATATTTTCTGGATCAAGTAAATATATTTCTAACACGATTTTTTATCATTGGACAAAAACACCAAGGTAGAATAAATAATATTTGAGAAATTGAAAATATACTCAAAAATGTCTTTTTTAATTCCAAACTTGTTGGCATGAAGAATAAGAAATTAAGTAGTACTTTTCACCTCATAGAATAAAGGATAAGAAAAATTCATTTACCATTCAACAACCTCGAGCACGGGTGCCAATAGTGCACTATCTTAAAAAAAAGAATATAATAGTTTTTTATGTTCTCCAATAAGTTCGAATAAGTGAAGTTCACTATATTCTTGAGAAATAAATTGTGTTAAGAATCAAGATCTTTAACTATTAGAGCACCAACTTCATGTATTGTGGAGATATTATAATTTCTTGAGTCTCTAGTTTTCTTTGTCAACAACCTCAATGATACATTAGAAGTAGGCTCATTATATATGAAGTCTTACTTCTCAACAGGCTCAATGATACATTAGAAGTAGGCTCATTATCCATGAAGTCTTTAGTTCTAAATATCTGTGTTAAAACATTAAGCTCATCTACCATATTTTTCAAATCTTTGACCAAACTTTTATTAGTAGTCAAAGAATTATTCTCCCTATTGTGCGAAACAAATAGAACAATTTGTTTTTATTAGCATGTTAATAATGTTTCATGTGTATTATATTGTCAAACAAATGTAAACAATATTTTTATTAAAATGGTGTACTCAATAAAGTATTCGAGATACCTAAAAAGAGTTATTTGTTTTCATATCTCGTTCTGTATACCATAAATATACAATTGTGTAAATTTTGGTCTTTCACCATATTGTGACATTAAACATGGTATGTGATGATAAATGTGTTCGCTGAGAGTACATTATTGCTCAACCATTATTGTGAGATGTATCAATATTTCCATTTATAAATGTT